ACGTACCACATACCAGCTTATAATTACGAATCACAACATTACAAATCACAAGATAATGAACACATTGTGGAGCCTAACGACCTACGTATTAACCGGATATATTCTATACTATATACGATGATACTTCATATTACACCTGATACTACTCACCCTACTCATATATATATTACTACTATACCTCATCATAATTAGTCAATATTTTATATAGAATACTTACTATGAGCATATCGCAGTTGCAAGGATAAAAATATTGACCTATCCACGACAGATCCTTAAAGCGCTCAGAGTTTCTTTTGTACACAAAGGCGGCGGAAGTGTATCCAGTATTTACCCCACTCGTGTTACAATACAAATTGACGAACCGTACTTGCCCTGTGCCTTGTCTGTCCTCTGCTCATCCACGCAGTCGTCCTCAAGTATCGCGTGTCCTCAAGTACTAGACTCCGTGGCGTGTTAATGAAAAGTGAATTGACTCTACAGCTACGTGTATAAATCCTTTCAGGATCCTTAAACGTTCTCTCTAAAATATCATGTTTCTACTCTTCTCGTTCTCATGTTAGACAGACCGCATACTTCTCCGGTATCTTCCTTCATAATCAAGTTGACCATAGCTTCTCTAAGCAGATCTTATCGTAATCTGCCTACTGTACTATCGAAAATTATTTATTATATAACTATTTTACACCGATGTAATGATATGTGTACAACAGCTTGTTGCTGCTACCATTAATTAATAATAATAATAATAATAATAATAATAATAATAACAACAATAATAATAATAATAATAATAATAACAACAACAACAACAACAACAAGATAGAAATGGGTTTGAAAAGCCCTTTTATGAATATAAGAATAATCTAGAATTCATCAGACATATCAAAGGAAAGTAACATTGACTTATTTATACTGTTATTACCACTTTTTTTTAACAACATGAAAACTAATTTTAACTTGAATAGATCAGTAAAAAATGTGTTGATTACTCAGATATGCATAGACTCCTGCGCAGTTTTGGGATTTTTAGGATTTGTTTGGAATTACAGAAACTTTTGCTTTATCATGTGTAATAGCGATTGTTAATATCCATTGGAGATGGCCAGAAAGTGATGTTTTTTGAAGGAAATTATTCTTTTGAGAGAGAAAAAAGTTCTCACTACAAGACAATTATCACATGCAATTGCAACAAAATTTTTGGGTGAAAAGAAAGTAGAAAAACAGGAATAAAAATACCAAAGCAGTAAATAAACAGATAAAATGTAATGTTTGGAATATGAGTGAATCAAAGAAAGCAGTGTTGAGGGTCCATTGTAGCTAAGGAGCCCAAGCAGTAGCAAGTCTCAGGAGTTTAAATATCACAACAGAAATAACATATAAATGATGTCAATGCAAAAGTAAGAAAA